TACAGCAATTTGGCTACCCTTGTGGTTGTTTTAAATGTGCTATAGAAATAAAGTTGATTGATTGATTGATTTTTTTTTTTTGGTTTTCTTTCTTTCTTTATTTTTTTTTTGAGATCTCTTTTTGAAGAGTTTTTTTTTTTTTTTTAAAGTACTTCCTTACTTCGAGGAAGTTACTTCTTCTTCCACTTCTCAGGCTTTCTTAACCCCAAGAAGTGTCTTGTTTGTTTCCAGACTGAAGAAGGTGGTTTGGTGGCATTAGAGGTTGGTGTCTCTGCTGGTCCTGCTGTTCCAACTAGTTCTGGAGATCCAGCAGTCACTTCGATTTCTAAAGCTCCTGCCAGTTCTTCAGCTCCAGAAGTTTCTGCAGTTTTCTCCAACTCCATGCAAAACTGCTCGATGTCCATGTCCATGAAGTCCTGCTCCTGAAGCGTCATCTCACTTTGCCTGATGCCTGTCTCTCGAAGTTGAAGCTCAGTTGAGAGTTCATTTGTTTTTTTGTTTTTTTCATTGTTAAAGCTGGTTTCTTGGGCCACTTTAAGCTCCTTGTTGTCCATCATACCGGCTGTCTGGATGTAGAGCTGTTGTTTCAGCTCCTCCAGCTCAGCCCAGTGCCTCCTCTCTGTTTCAAAAGCTGCCTGCTGCAGAACAGCAATCTTCTCCGTCATGGAGTCCTGTTCGGCTCTCAGGATCTGGATGGTCTGTTCCTGTAAGAGTCCATCATGGTGAGCCTGATTTTGCAGCTCACGCTGAAGGGTCTCAACTTCCTGTTTCGCAGCAGTGAGATCAGTTGCATACTGGAATTTCAGTGCTTGGTATGAGGTTCTTGTCTTCTCCTGTTCTTCATGGAGGACCGTGTTTCTTTCAGTCAGTTCCTGGACTTGTGTTGTGAGCCTCTCATTTTCCACAATATGTGCCACCTTCAGCTCCTCGTAATCGACATGAAGATCCTTCTTCTTCTTCTGCCGGCTCGTGTCCCTCACCTTAAGAGCAATTCTGTGTTTGGAGAGGGTCTCCTCTGAGCTGTACTTTTGAAGCATCTGCAGCTCCTTTTTGAGCTCCTTCCCTTTGTTAATGTACACTTCCTTGAGAGCCCTTTGCCTGGTCAGCTTCTGATGAATCACCTCCAACTCCTGGCTGAGCAAGAGTGTTCGGTTCTTCTCTCTCTCCAGCTGTCCAGTGAGCCTCTGTTGAGTCACCTCCAACTCCTGGCTGAGCAAGAGTGTTCGGTTCTTCTCACTCTCCAGCTGTCCAGTGAGCTGAGCCACAGTCCTGCGGAGTGTCTCCATCTCTCTGTCCCTCAAGTAGAAGGGCCTGTTAATCCTGGGTCGGTTTGTTGGTCGCTGCATTGTCTTTGACTGTTTGTAGTCTCAGAGTTCCGCTGCTAAAAGATTTCGATTGTCTCTTTCTTTAAGTGTAGCTACTCGCTGAAAGGTTCAAACAATACCCTGGACAGCTGCTCTACTTCCAGTTAGTAACACGAGATGAAAGCCATGATGATGTCATAATGATGTCATCACGGAATTGTTCCTTTGATGCAATATTCTCTTGTTGTTTGTTTACATTTGAATTTTTCACATTTAAATGTAAAAAAAAAAGCACACCCTATAACAATCATGTATTTTTCAAACCTGCTGTTAACCCACATTGATTTGAGCTGTTTTTGTAATAGATGCTTTATGAATTGATATGTATTGATGGGTTAAATAAGAAAACTTAGTATGACACACCAGCTGTTAAACTGAACTTTACAGACGCCATCTTGCCTGTGTACTTCTGTCCATTGTTGAACCAAAATTAAAAAATAGTTCTCTTTAAATGTACAAATCATATTTACTCATGAAGATAAAGTCATTATTGATTATACATTGCAGATATACTTTCCCCTGAACTCTATATTAATCAGTTATCCAAAAGCTTTTCCTCTGCTGATGAAAAGTGAAAACAAGAGTCCTGCAAGGATTAAAACTGACATGGGCCTACTTAGCATGCGAAATTCAGAGAAATTTTAGCACTTTTTGACAACAGCAAGAGTAAATCAGAATTAACTCTCATTGGGACACACAAACCCCTCCACCACGGTAAGGTGGTAGCTCGAGGAGGGGGATAAAAACCCTCCCATGGGACGGAAAACCGCAAGGTTTATTTTATCTTTTGTGTGAAAAACACCGGGTTATGGGTGCTTTTGTTTGTTGTTTTTTAATTTTCTTTCCAGTAGTTTTTTTTTTTTTCCCATGTTGATGTTTTTTTTTCTTTTTTGTTTTTTCATCAGTTGTCTTAATTTATTTTTGTTTTTGGAGATTTCTTTTTGAAGAGTTTTTTTTTTTTTTTAAGTACTTCCTTACTTCGGGGAAGTTACTTCTTCCACTTCTCAGGCTTTCTTAACCCCAAGAATCAGAAATATTTCTTTTTTGTTTTTTAGTTTTCTTAGGGTGTTTTTTTGTTGTTGTTGTTTTTTTTGTTTTCAGAAATACTCTTCTTTTTCTTTTTTTTAGTTTTCTCTTTTTTCTGCCTGTTTTAAGGGTTTTCGACCTAGGCTCCCTCTCACCCTACCTTAAAGAGGTCGTCACTAATCTGGGAGTTAAATTTGACCCTGATTTTAAATTTGACAAGCAGATCAGCGGGGTGGTACAAAAAAGTTTTTATCAGCTACGCCAAATAGCGAAGGTGAAGCCCATTTTATCAAGACCTGACCTGGAAAAATTAATCCATGCTTTTATCACTACCCGTCTTGATTACTGCAACTCCTTGTACGTAGGGATTAGCCAGGCTTCCCTTGCCCGCCTGCAGCTTATGCAGAACTCTGCTGCACGTCTCCTGACACAGACCCGCAGGCGTGAGCACATCACCCCCATCCTGGCGTCCTTACACTGGCTCCCTGTTCAGTACAGAATTCATTTTAAGCTTTTAGCATTTGTTTTTAAGGGCCTGAACAACCTTGCTCCACCCTATATTTCGGAGATGCTACAGCCTTATTGCCCACCCCGACCCCTAAGATCAGCTGATCAGCTTTTACTGACCGTCCCCAGTACAAGGCTGAAGCTCAGAGGGGACAGAGCATTTGCCGCTGCTGCCCCTAAGCTCTGGAATGAGCTTAGGGGCAGAGCCATGCCAGAGCCACCACTAGCCATAATAAGGAGGGGGTGGGTGAGGGTGGGAGGGTTACTCAGTTCACTTATTTATGCTTTTTAGGGTGCTGCACATTACATGGTACTGTTTCCAAGCTAAGCCTGAACTGCTTTTCACAAACTTTGAGAAAGTCAACTGGCCAAACAGTCTTCCTTAAATTCCTTCAGAGTATGGGTCATCAGCTGTACACACAGAATATATATACTCTTCATGTAAACACGTAGAAAGAGTCAAACTCGCTAACTGCATTACTTTGAGTCAATAACATCCAGAATATTTTCTTACAATAAGAGACTGAACTTCTGTCAGGCATATTTCTGGTGGATTGCCTTAAAATTATCAGTATAAAATGCTCTTATCTCTTTAGATGAACATAAATGCCAGCAAAATACAGATGTGGTTAATCTAATCCCAGTCCCAGTTTTGGTCAAACAGAAAAAAACTTCACAGGCTGTGAACTTTAAGAAGAAATCACACCAAATGCAGTGCCAGGGTGCCTCCAAACAGGCAAAGTGCAGACTGAGAGCTGTTCAAAGTCAAAAGCTGCATTTCTTTTCATAAAGGAGATCACATTCCTGATTTATGACATCTGCTGATCCTTTCCTGCTATTTAACACTAGATGTCTTTTCTTTGGGTCTTTTTTAGCAGAGAAAAACATCCCTCAACATTAGCTTGATCGATTCTTCGCTCTTTTTTTTTTCTTTACATTAATAAATAGGATGTCATTTTAGGTCCACTCTTGACAGGGTAAGCAGCCTGAAAAAGCACCGACGTCTTGTCCGACTTGCTTCCAATGACTTTGACCGGCCTGGTATTCTCATGCTGGGTACAAACGGGGCACCACCCGGGCAGTTCTCCTGGACAGCGGGAAGACTCGTGTTTCCCTTCAGCACCATCGTTTCATGAGTCCCCCAGAGTTAAAGACCGGGAGCCCGACTTTCCAACAGCACAAACTCCTCCATCCACTTTTAACCTCTTCTTTTTCAAACACAGCCCCGGGTTAGAAGCTAGCGAATGCTGCAGTCGCTTGGACTCCATATGCATCGTCCTTCTGTCCGCCCTCCTCCTCCTCCTCCTCCTCTTCCTCTAGGCGTCTTGACACGGGACCAGAGAATGTGAAGCCCCGCATAGCCCCTGCTGACACTTGCTTTTCAGCGCCATAACCGCTCAAAAGTCTTTGGACAGTCAACTCACATGTTTCGTCTAGTTCCCCGAACATGAAATCCCAAAGGTAGCCGAGGAAAGGGCCGTTATTCCCGGGGATTCAAAGTCGTGCTGCGCGCTCCCGCTGCAGTATGAGGAAGCAGGGAGGGTGTGGTCGGAGCTGAACGGCTGCTGGACTGGCTGAAGTTCCAGGAAGGGAACGGCACAACTGACCCTTCGCCGAAATTTCACTTCCCGGCGGTCAGTGAAGAAGTTTCTTTCTCATGTTAACGACGGAGGTTTATTTCCCGGTGTTACCTCATATTCTTCCATAACTGCAGGACAGAAATCCAAAAGTCTCGTGATAATGTTTTTCTGCCCTAAAAATGTTTCTGTTCACATTTATTTGATTAAACGCTCATTCCAGTCATATTGTTCTTTTTTTTTTTTTAACAAATGTTGAACTTGCAACTGACTTCACCTTAATCCATGTCATCTCCATTCTGTGATAGATAGATAGATAGATAGATAGATAGATAGATAGATAGATAGATAGATAGATAGATAGATAGATAGATAGATAGATAGATAGATCTGACTAAAAAAAGAACAAAAAACAGTCTATTATATAGACCACATTAAAATCCAAATAATAATACCATATCATTATCAAAATAAAGAACATTTATTTCACATTAATTCATACTTATTCTAAATTGTTATAAACTCATCATTCCTCAGTTTTTACTCCAGACAAAATAAGAGCTTTGGTTTCACAAATGTAGTGCCGCTGGCCTCGACAGACAACATCATCCCAGGAGTTCAGCCAGCCTTTCTGTCCAACAGTCTTTGGAGGGACAATGACAACACAGTCCTGTCCTGCACGGTCTTTGTCCCATTGAGCCGCAGCATTGTTTGGCTCTCCAGGCATCCAGAACTTCAAATCTGACTTGGACTTGATACCATTTACCCACACAAATCTGTTATCCTGCACCATGTCCTGCAACCCGATCCATGCTGAATGGAACAGTACATTTGGATGCTGCTGTGTAAACTGGAAAGTCATGTTGGTCAGAAATGCCTGGTCTGCAGCATTCAAGACAACAGCCAGGTCAGCACCTTCATTAAAACACTCCCTACGAGCATCTTCCCACTTCATTGGTTGTGATGC